AATCCTCAGCTGCCCTTTGCTGTCAAACCCAGGTCCCCTCCTGAGCATAGTGATCCCAGGCTGCCCGGTCCCCCACAGGGCCACTCGTTCTGAATGCTGCCAGCAGACGGGATGAGCAGCCCATACCCCGCTTGCTAGGATCAGTGCTTGCCAGCTGCAACTTCCCCTTGTGAGAGTGCCCTGCTGCTGGCAAGCCCCAGGTTGTACTTTCCCCCTCCAGAGCCAGCCCCCCAAGGGTGTTCTAGGGCAGCAGAGAGGCAACTGGGAGCTGTTACCTGTTGGTGGAAGCTAGCGAGGCCTCAGGGCTGCTCTACCTCATGTGGAGGCCAGGTCAGTAGCCAGGCTCAGGAGGAAGGAGGAGAAAGTCACTGCCCTTTGTGCCAGGGCTGCTGTGAAGAGCCAGGTGTCATGCCTCATCAGTTAGCTATCTGAGAAGGCAGCAGCCTCACCGCTCACCTCACTAGGAGCCAGGGAGGGCATGAGTCCTTTTTCCTGCACCCTTGCCCTGAGACACACAGGCAGGCCCTGCCTTGCCTACCTCCCACCCTCTGCCCTGGGGGCAAACAACATGAAAATATGAGCCATGGGCTTCTTCTTTGGGTCTTTGTGACAGACACCGGGGCAGGGGATCTGCTTTGCTTGCTTGCACCGTCAGTTGTGCAGGTCCTGACTGGGTCGAGGGCATCTCCCTGATGCAGGGAACCAGTGAAAAGAGGACGCTGCAAAAGCTAAGCACCCTGGCAGGGGAAATACCCTGACCGATGTAATACAATTAAAATGGCACTGTGTAGTGGAGGGTTGCACCTTTGTCTGCTTGTGGACAGGACTCCTTTCTAGAGCCTCATAGTTAGCTTCCCACTGGCCAGCTTCCAGTGGGAGGATCTTGGCTACCTGCTAACTTTGTGGAAATGGGAGACATCTCCCCAGCTTGCTCCTGCGGCCATATGGCTGAGGACAAGCAAAACTCAGGGGCATCCAAACCCTAAGCTTCTGGGCTTGGGCCTGCACATAGGATGCCTGCCAAAGGATTTGGAAGCATCTGAAGCCCCAGGCTGGAGTGGAGGATACTTGCTGGTAGTAGGGCCACATATGGTTCCTGGATGATTCAAAAAGATTTGGACCAGATTTGGCTAATTTGACCTGGGACACAGAAAATTGCCCTTAAAAAACCCCCCCAAACCCCAGGGCTCATCTGTACGAGGCCATTTACTTGCTAGTGTGGGGTGGTCACCAGGTGTGGTGCTGCCTCCCTCTGGAGGGATCGGAGGCAGGTGGCTGATGGTGAAATGGTAATGCAGATGCACCCTCCCTGCTGGAGCTTAGTTACACCCTCTGGTTTCTGTTTATCATTTCCTTTCATTAACTGTGGCTGGGAAGGAAGAAGAAGGCAGCTACAGACTCAGGGCCCCACCTCTGTTGTGGGGATACTGTGAGCTGCCACCACAAACGTGCTTGGAGCCCTGTAGCAAATCTCAACTGAGCCAGTTTGCCTTCAGGATAGGAGCAGAGCTGGCCAGAACCTGGAAAAGTAAGCAAGCCCTCCCACCCCGCTCTGTCCCTGCCCCAAAAGAAAGCAAAGCCCATGGCAGGGAGCACTTATAGGCTCTGGCTTTGCTGAGTAAGAAGGCACGTGCTTTTGCCTCAGGTCTGTAGTTGTGGCATGTCAGGGCCTCCACCCAACGATGCCTCACACCTGCTGACTGGTGGCTAGGGGAGCTGCAAGCTTCTGGCCTTCATGAGGCATCTGCTTAATGGCCACTATGTCAAAAACACACCTTTCTCTCTCAGAGCTGCCCAGTTACAGCAGAGAAGAGCTGGCAGCTGTGGGAATAACTGCGTCAGGGAGTCACTGTTGTCACAGGAGTGGTGGGGATGTTCCTCCAGCTCATGGCGAGGGCTGAGGCAGGGACAGGGATCACTGTGTCCGCAGTGGAGGTGTCTCTCTCCAATGGCGAGGAAGTGGTGATCCATGTGCCCCAACTGCCACGTGGCGAGGTCCAGCAGAGACCAGGCGGGGCAGTTTCTTACTGCGGCGCTTTGCATTCCGTGGCTGTGGCTGCGCTTGTCTGCTCAGGAGTGTACATTTCCTGCTCTTGTTCAGATAGTTGTAAAATACCCCTGTACATACTCATCTGTGTATTGGCAAATGGGTGTGCTCGTGTGCAATAAAGTGAGAAGGACTGGTCTGCTATCCAGTGTGTCAGTGTGGCTGGCAGGGTTGGGAATTCTCACCATAACAGTGCCATTGCTAATTTTGCTGACTCCCAGCTCCCTCACACTTCCCAGATCGGTAATAGAACAACAGGGGACCTAGCACACACACTTGATGCTCCCATCAACTTTGACCATGATGAAAATTGACCATTTAGACCCACTCTTTGGGCTCTGGACAACTCCTGACCTGTGACTGTATTCACCTAGGGTGCTGCGAGCCTCAATTGCCCTGGTTACAGCCATGGGGATCACAGCCATAGACTAGCCAAGCTGCGGAGCTCTGTCCTGGTGCAAAGCTGCTACATAAGGACTGGGGTGTCAGTGAAGGGGATGAGGAAGACAAAGGGGACTTATGAAAGGGAAGAGGTAAGGGTGTAGAACCTGCAGCCTGTTTTGGCTGCTAAACAGGGCCCTGACCCCTGATGCAACAGGAGCTGCTGGCCATGGAGCACCTTTGACACCCAGGTTCCTACTGAGGGTGCTGAGCTCCAAAAATTTCAACCTTTAGGCCTAGGCCAGGGGTCCAGTATAGGGGGGGACTCCATACCTACCAGCACTGTCCAGCCTAGAGGATGGCCAGAGGCAGGGACACTGCAGTTTCCATGGTTTGAACAGGAGCTGTTATTGACTTGACATTATAAAGCAGGGCCCCTCATGTGCCTAAGTCAAGGCCACGTGCATGAATCAGGGTGGCAGAGAAGCCAGTTCTCAAGGGCATGGGAGCCAGTCCTCAAGGGCAGGGCATCAGCTGCTGCTGCATATGGGATAGCAAATGTCAGAAGGAGCAGTCAGGAAAGGCCTGGGCTGTGGGCTGGGTCCATCAGGAAGTAGGGGGAGTGCTCAAGAACCCCTGTGGCTCACTGATCCTGGAGCCAGCCTAAGGGCAGTTTCCACGATCCAGGCTGGTTGTGTACAGTCTCTGGGGGCTGGAAGGGGAAGTGCAGTCCCCGACAGCTCTTGGGCAGTGCCGCTAATGGGAGCTGAGTAGAAGCCCGGGCCCTGCCCCTGCAGCACTCTTTTGTGCCTGGCAGAATGGGCTGGGAAGGTGTCAGGCCCTGAGTGTCAGGTCCTGGTTGGTTCTTGCACAAGCCCTTGCCTTTGCAGTTTGGGCATGTGCCCATGTAGATATCCAGTCCTGTCACCACCTCACACCGGCTGACCTAGGGTTGCCCCGGACAGGTCGTGTGGTTGTAGTGCCCACAGCACTGCGTCAGCGATGCCATGTTGGCCTCAAGTCCTGCCCAGGCACCAGTGAAGGAGAGGGTCCCGTTGTTGCTGAGCATGGAGCTGGAAGAGAGGGCCATGGCTGGGGTGAGCCACATGTCAGCAGGCACTTGTTGGCTGCAAATATCCCTGGGACAATACGGGCCTGAGACTGCCCCCTCCCCTCCTTCCTCCCTCAAGATGTCATCCCTCTCTTCTGATAGTCCTCAGCTCCCCACAACCCAAGGCTGAAATCCCCTCCTGGTTCTGCTAAGACAGCTTCACTCTGTTTAACACTGCACCAACCCAGGGACATTACTGCCACCCTCCTCTCACCCAGGACTGCCCACACAGGTGAGTTCTTCATGGATCTCCTGACATCAGGTGTTTTCCTTATAACTGGTGCCTGGAGTCATGTGACTATCAGAGACTCTCAGCTGTTGCTGGCAGAAAAAATAATGGACTTGGCAACCTCTCCCTCCTACCCCTGGCAGCCTCCTGTCATGGTTAGCACAGCCTCTTCCAACCTGGAAATGTGGCCGTGAAGCTACTCCCTGGTGTATCCTTCAGCCCCTGCTCTTGAGCCTTCCAACTCTAGCAGAACAAGAGAAGCCACCAAGGACAACCTAAGAACAGCTTCGCTGGCAGGTTGGTGGGAGCAGGTGACTGGAGTATGCTGGGGGCGTGCATGTTCTGGCTGGGACGGGCAGTGTTGACATACCAGTGTTCAGGCCTTTGGATTGTGAGGGGGAAAAAAAGCCTGAAGGAGGCAGTTCCCTGAGCTCCAAACTTAGCAGGCAAATAAAAAGCATCCACATGTCTTCTTTTTATATAGTCATGGTTTTAGGCAATCTCATGGGGCCTTGTGTGTTGGAAGTTGCAACCCTGCCTCCTAGTCCAATCTCTACCCTCCCATCTAGATTGACAACCACGGTTTTGCCTCACACCCATAGGTGCTGACTTCATGGGTGCTCCAGGGCTCAAGCACCCACCAAAAAAAATTAGCATCCACAGAGCTGCTTGCAGATGTTTACAAACAAACAAACAAACAAAAAGCTTTACTGAAAGAAGCAGGATGTTACTTCAACCCGGCTCTGCAGCATCTGTAACGATCATGTGCTTCAGCAAGGCTTTTTGGTGCTTTTAGCTCAAGCTGATTTAATCCGCTACTGGGTAAAAGTGTTAAAAAAGCCCCATTAAGTGCCCAATCTTTACAGAAGTTGCAGAGCCAGGTAGAAGTAACGTGCTGCTTCTTCTGGGCATGCGTGGGGCTGAGCACAGGAATATGTCAAGTTAAAAGTAAAGTGATGGTTTTGTTTTGGGGGGTTTTTTTACACCTGCAAGCACCTACCAGCAAAAAAAAAAAGTTGGTGCTTATGTTCACCCCCCTCCCTGAAGCCTCCTTTCCCCACCCCAACCTGTCAAAAATACCCCTTCCTGCCCTCTCCACAGCCCAGCACTGTTGTCTCCCCTCCCACAATTCCTTGAGGCTCAATCCTCCCTCCTCCTACCAGCAGGCTGAGACTCATAAGAGACATTTACTGGGAGGAGGTCCTCAAGGGCAGGGGGAGCCCTGAAAAGATATCAGCTGCTGCTGCATATGGGACTACAGTCCCTTAAAGACTGTAGGTCCAACTTGCCCACTTTCCTGTGTCATGGGGCAGAGAGTGGATGCTGAAAGGGAGAGTGAACAGGCTGTGACCCAGGTTTTTCCAGAGCTCCTCTCTTACTTGCAGCCTTTAGCATTTGCAATTGAGTTAGGGAAGGGCAGTGGGGGGTACACAGAGGCGCAAGGGAGTAGGTGCATATATTGTAACGGGTGCATGGTTTCTTAATGTGGTTTAAGGTGTGTGATGGAAAGTTTATGCTACATAATGTATATATATTTTTGTTGTTGTTGTTGTTGTTATTATTTTTTTTTTAAATGAAGGCCTAGGAAGGTCTGATTCAGAGGCTGTGCCCCTCACTCCCGTGATCAATAGCTACTGATGCACCTTTTGCTCTCCAAGCCATTCCCTACAAATCTATTACTTAAGCTACTCAAATAACCTATTACTTAAGGTACTCAATCAATCCTGTTGCCTGGCTACAAGGCATAGCATCCTGTGGTGCCACAGGAAAAGCAGGGGGATAGCAGAGGTCAGTGTCCTGCTGTTGCAAAGGTAGTTAAGAGTCATCCGTGCAGGGAGCAGGTTAAAAGTACGTTTCAAAGCAATCTCATTAAAAATGTTGGTAGGAACCACCGTGAAGACTGTAGTGAGATGCACCTCACCACAATAGGGGGTCCAGTTTGAAACAGGCAAAGCAGAAGCTGTGTGGAGGAGATGGTCTGGGAAGCTGATGCTTTCCCCACGGGCATGTATGAGGGCTGTGCCCCCAGCAGTGGCAGGCAGTACTGCACCCAGCCATCAGCTACCCTGCTGCCCAGGCTGGGCCACAGCTTCACCCTGTTAATTCTGAGGTGACGACTGTGGCCAGCACAGCCGCTCTCTGAAGCTAACGTGCAGCCTCCCCAGCTCAGCAGGGCCCATCCAGCCCCATGGACATAGTTGAGGACCAGGCACAGACTCACTTTGCAAAGAGCTGCCGGCAGCACACATAGATGTTGTAGCTGGTGCTGTTGAAGTCCACGGTGCTCAGGAAGGTGACGCAGTTCTCCACTTCCCCTCTGGGCACGTACAGGATGCCTGGGGGAAATGAAACACAGCCATGGAGATTCTTTGACACTAGCCCCGGCACACACCCCTGCCCCTGGCCCTGCCAGCAAAGCCCCTCTGGTTGGCCCTGGTCACTCCCTGCTGCTGGTGAGGCAGGGGACCCATAGGAGCACAAACCTGCCTGTGTGTGGGCAGGGGATGCCCAGCTCTGCTTGGCCAGAGGGTGCTCAGGGAGCACAGCCCCACAGAGGGGTTGGGGAGAGGGGCAGGACAGCTTCCCTCCTCTTCCCCCTGCCTCCTTCCCATTTTCATTCCCAGTGGAGTTTCCGTCTGCCCCAGGTCTTTCCCCTCACCTTCCCACCCCCATCTCTGGCAGGGTCCTCCCCAGCAGGCCCCAGGGCCAGTGAGCATGAGGTTGGGACCATACCTGCCACACAGGCATTAAGAATAGAGACGCAGGCCCCGGTGAACAGAGCTCGCAGCACGATGCTGGCGAAGTCACTCTTCCTCTGAGGAACCATGGATGCTGCAGGGAACAGAGCATGGTGAGAGCCCGCAGTGGTGAGGGCTGGAGAAGCCACCCGCTGAGGGAAAGACCAGAGCCCTGGGTCCTGTTGTCTGGCCAGGAGGGAGCTGCCTACAGCTTCCCACCTCTGCCCAGCACTGCAGTGTCCCTTCAGCCAGCTGACAGGTAAGAACTATCTCCCATCACTGCAGAGCAGTATCCCACACCAGGGGACACTGTAATGCAGGAAAAACCTGCAAAAGTCAGCTGGACAGCGCTGCTGGGGCTCTGGTAGCAGCACCTGGCCCTGTCTCAGCCAGAATCCAGCACGATGCCTTCTCTCACACTGCCCCCAGCATAGCCCCCTGGAGGGTGGGGTGTTTGGGATACCCGGGCTCCTCCACTGCCCTGCCCCAGCACCTGCTGCAGCCCCGTACTCACTCAGGCCTCCCAGCATGATCCCGATGGAGCTGAGGTTGGCAAATCCACAGAGGGCAAAGGTCGTAATGATCTCAGCTCGCACCTAACAGACACGAGAGCAGATGAAGGGTGCATTGAGGACCAGTCCCTGAGACAGCCACCCTAGTCGTGGTGACACCCTCACCCCCACGCTGACCTTCTGGCCTCTTGTGAGCCAAGAGCCCAGGCTGTGGAGGTAGGGCACTGAGCAGCAGCAGGGAGACAGACCCAGCCCTGAGATGGCCACTTCCTGCAGCCCCACCCCTGAGAGCCTGGAGATATCTGTGGCGGATGCTGCCGGCAAGAGAAGCTGAGCAGAGGGTACATGGGCTGTGGCAAGGTGCCCCCCTCCTCCCTGCTCCACAGCCACTCATGCCTCAGGAGTGGCACCTCCTGTGCTATACGCGTGTGCCCCCTTGGCTTGCTGCACCAAGGGGTAGGGGCAGGAAGTGAGAGAAACTGGAGCCCCCCTTCCCTGTTCCTGAGTTGCCAAAGCCCTCGGGGTCCCTGCATCCCTCATAGGATGGGTGCTACACCACTGCCACCAGCTTGCAGTTGGGGCACTCAGGACCAGGCATCATCATGCTGGATTGCACTCCCCTTCCCCAATCCCTGGCTGCAGCAGGGTCCCAGGCAGGGAGGTCTGTAACGCCTGGAGCCCTGAGCAGTATTGCGAGTTCCCAGCCCTGCTGCCCCCAGCCAGTTCCTTTCCTCTGCCTAGACAGAGCCCCAGCTCCGCTCACCCCTCCCAGCTCCCTGCCCTGTGCCTGCTGCTGCCAGCTAGCCCCTCTGCCAGCCCTGTGTGCTGACACCTGCCTCTCACCGAAATCCACTGCTTCTGGCTGCCTTTCCACTCCTCCAGCCCCTCCAGGCGGTTCTTCTTGTACATGGACAGCCGCTCATAGGCCACAAACTCATTCAGGAAGATTTTGATCCCCAGGAGCTCAGCCACCACCGGTGAGTCTGCCCAGTCGGCCCCCATCAGAAAGGCCACGGGCATGAGGACATAGGAGCAGATCAGCTGAGAGCAGAGACCGCCACCACACATATCAGCATCATTGTGGGAGTGTGCTCACATGCACACCCTCCCAAACAGCCCCAGGCAGCCACCTCCTCCAGTCCTGTGCAAGGTGAGTAGGCAGAAGCAGTGGGCAGCTTGTGGACAGGCATCCCAACAGCAAGAGGGAGCCTATGGAGGACTTAAGGTGGGAGGGGAGGAGAAAGGCTGGAGGGAGGGAGGCAGGGAAGGAGAAGGTATTTTGTGAGGGGGCTGGTAGTGCACTACCTGGAAGGAGAGCCCCTTGATGTCCACCATCTCCCCAAGCCAGGAGAGTGCAGCATTGACAAACTCCAGCACGGCCAGGAAGGCGATCAGGTTGGCCGCAATGTTGGCCACCAGCCCCACGGAAGCGGAAGCACCATTGCTGGCAGCTTCCAGGATATTCTGCTCTCCCCTGGAGAGACAAAAGGAGTCAGCCACTGAAAGAGGTTCCACATGGGCTCAATGCTCCCTGTCTGGCCAGTCCCTGGGCACAGTTCCCTGGGCCTGGCCTGCCCTGCCAATATACTGACCTTCCCATCCTTTGTTCATGGCCCTGGAAGCAGCATGCTACCCCATCACATCAGTTCCTTGCCCCAGTCTTCTCAGATCTTGCTTGGGGTCCCCCACTGCCCTCCCCAGCTCTGTGGGATATCCCTGCCCTGTCTCCATCCCCTTGCCCCCATGCTTGGCAGCCCCTGGACATCCCACCCTGGGCTGATAGAGCCCAGCCCTGCCTGCTGCTCACCCGTTGCTAATTATCACGCCGTCTTTGCTCTTGAATTTAGACTTCTCCACCTCAGGATAAACCAGCTTGGACATGGCGAGAGCACAGGGCGCAGCCATGACAGAGGCTGCTATCAGCGATGATGCATCTATCTACAACACAGAAGCACAGGGGCAATCATGTGGCAGGGGCCTGGTGTCTCCCCACGGAGCCAATAGCAGAGAGGCTGACCTGGGGCTGGCAGCGGGGAAGCAGTGAGTGAAGGGCAAGTCTAGTCCTCAATAAACATCTCAGCATCTCTACATGGGCCCCTATTAGGGTGCAGGAAACTAATGAACTCTGCAGCAGGGTAGGGCTTGTTAATGCAAGCCCTTCCCTGCTATGGAGTTTTTTCATGTGCAGCAGCACACATGTAGATGCTGAGCTGGCTGGCTGGGGCACAGAAGTGCTTCAGTGCAGGGGCTGCCTGCCAACTAGCCCCACACTGAAGCACCCTCATACCCCAGCCAGCCCCTCCACAACACATTCAGCTGGGTCGAAGCAGCCCCAGGCCCCCTGCCAGTCAGGCCTGCTCCAACCTGGTTCAATGTACTGTGGTCTGGGCACACATGCAAACACGCACCCAGCAGCAGTTAGCTCCAGAGCTGATTTCTGCACATTAATAGGCATGTGTAGATGTGCCTAGGGTGTCTAGGAGAGGACCTATCCATGGGTGAATGCCTCTCACAGCTCTGAGCCTGTTTCTAGAAGCTGCAATGTGTGATCCTGATGGGTGTCTCCCACCCCCAGGCTGCACACAGCTGCACTCAGGCCACGAACATCAGCAGCCGTCGCTTCCAGGCCTCTGGTCTGAGGTACAGGAGACCTGATTCCCTCAAATCTCTTTAGAAGGACCTAGGAGAGGGGGTGATGTTGCAGCACTTCATCCCCTTATCATTATGCCTCCCAGCCAAACAGTCATGGTGCACTGAGCTCCAGTTCTCTCCTTCCTTTATTCCTGACCCTCACGCAGCCTTTGAGCTGCACTAGCAACTCTTATGTGGGCTGATCCTATCTTACTGTTTCCCTCTTGAACCTTTTCATGAGCATCCGATGTCAAGGGCTGCTGTAAAGTTTTCTCAACATGTTCCCAAAGCCTCCTAAAAGCAACATCTCAAACAGCCCATTGCTGGCACACGTTTCCCAAATCTCAGAGTAGCTGCTGGCAAGACCTAGGGATCTGCCTGCACTTAGCAGTAAGGCTGCAAAGAAGTCAGGAACAGACAAAGCCCACCCTTTACTGTTCCTCTCTCTCCCATTGTGTGTGCATCTGCCTTATTCAAGTAAGTAGAATCCATCTTTAATGATGATAGTGATAACCACAGCTCCAGCTCATCTCAGCTGATGGGGTTTTTTCCCCCACAAAAGTCAGTAAATGTCAGACTTAACACCACTGAAAAGCCAGTCCTTACAAAAGCTCTCCTCAACTTAGAGGAAAGGGGCTGAGGAGCATTGTTCAGATGAAGGCTTCACTTCATATCAGATATGAATATGTTTGAAAGCAAGGTGCTGGAGATGTTTAGTGGGGCTGGTTGCTCTTGGGCTCATGGTGGCTGAGTGGTGAGGGTGCCTCTATGGCTCTGGAGCTGTGAGTTTACGATCTGTTGGAGTTAAAGGCTGCCCAGAGCTGTGAGTGGCCCCCTGGGGAGTCAAAGGCAGCTGGACGTGATGCTGGCTACATCATTCCTTTGCATACCTTTGGCAAACAAACTGTTGTACTTTAACCACAGGAGCCCAGTGGACTTTTAGACTTAGAGGGACTTTCCTTCCTCTTGTCATTGGACTCAGAACCCACTGAGGTCTCCACTCAGGATCTCATGTGCTCTTTTAACTAGTGAGCAGTATGCAGTGGTAGGGTCACATTTATACTCTGCACCTCTAGCAGTGAGAGGGCTTGTGTGCCCACAGGCAGGGCCTGCCAGTTTGCACAGGAGCTGCCCCGGTGCATCCTGTGGCTCAGGTCTGATCAGTCCAGGGGGGCTCTGTCTGCCTTTGGGCAGAGCTGTCTTCTCTCCCCTGGGCCTCTCTGGTCTCACAGGGACAATCGCCATACCTGTGCCCAGTATGCTAAGGCTCTAGATGAGGGGATCATTAGCACACGCAGCAGGGAGCCCCCACCCAGGGGTGGCCACATGATGGGGCCTTCTGCACTCACCCCGAAGGACATGTAGGCTCCCATCACACTTCCGGCAATAGTGGAGAAGCCCCCGGTCATCACGGCATGGATTTCTGAGTACGTCATGTCCGCTAGGTAGGGACGGATCAGCAGGGGAGCTTCTGTCTGCATGACAGGAGAAGGCAGTGAGGGCTGTGCATGCTGCCAGAGGCCCCTCCCTGGTTGGGGGTCATCCCACAGTGGTGCTCTTGGGCTTCACATCACCCCACTGCTTCCCAGGCTCAAGGGAACTGGGGGATGGGGGAGGAGGAGGGCTGAGTGGAGCCTTGGGAGCCCTTTGATGGGTATATATCAAGGACCAGCTTCTCTGAGGCCTGCCCACTGGGGCAGAGGCCTGGGGCTAGGCCTCCTTGAGGGCCATGCCTCCTCAAGGGGGTTGAGAACAAGCTTTCATAGACCTCTGTCTGCACACTGTCCAGAGACAATGGCTGTAAAAAGGCTTGGGAGACACCCAGAGCAACAGCAGCTTCCTGCCCCAGGGCACAGCTCTTTGGACAAGACCAAAGCATGTTCCTCCCTGTGGACAGCTGTCCGGGCCTTGCCTCACTCACCTGTCCCACAAAGATGTTTCCTGCGACACTCAAGGTCTCCGTAGCCGTGGTGCCCATGGTGACCTGCAGCAGCCAGGAGATCTGGAGAGAAGTAGGAGAAGCCTGTGTCTCGGTGCCAAACCACAGCATTTCAAACAGCTTGGCCTCCCATTGCACCTGGACTTCTGCCTTGCTCCAGGGTCCAGCTCAAGACCTGTGGCTGAGATCCAGGAGTGCTGAGGGGCAGAGGTGTGGCTGTAGAGATCTGTACTGCCCCAGTCAATACCAGGTTCCCCTTCCATTGGGGCCATGCTTACCCCTGCCAAGCCAAGGTACTACGTGGGACGAGTAGATCATACTGCCAGCCCCCAGCCCCACTTGGGAGGACCCAGAGAGGCTGGGTGTTACCTTCAGGATGATCCACTGCATGAGGCCAAGGTAGTAGAGAATGGACATCACGCAGCTGAAGAAGACGATGATGGGTAAAGCCTGTAGGCAGAATGGCAAGGCACAGGCTGAGTGTAAGAGCCCAGCAATGCCTGCTGGTGGGATGCTTGGCAGGCCCCAGGTCAGTCTGAGGTGCTAGAGCTCACCCCAGCCCCTGCAGCTGAGCATAAGGGCAGGGCATCAGTGCCCACAATGGTTTCTAGCCTGGCCTATGAGCTGTGCAGTGCCAGGGGGTCAGGGTGCCAGCCCTTACAGCTGGCCTGGAGTGGCAAAACACCAGGTTAATAAGCGAGTGTCTGGGCTGCTCAAAGCCCCACAGTCCCCCTGTCCCTGCCTCAGGGTTGGTCCCCCTGGCCTGAGAGCTCACCTGAAAGGCAAAGGCCTCTTGGATCAGCTTGTTCCCAAAGACGAAGCCGGAGCCGGCTGTGGTGTAACTCAGGAAATACTGCAAGGGAAGAGGTCAGAGATCAGAGAGAGCAGCACCCCGGAAAGCTCTCCTCAGGCCTGTTCCAACCTGCACTGTGATGAAGGATCCCTGCAGACACCTCCTCTGCGCTGTGCTCCACTCCTACCAAGGGACCACACCATGTGGAAACCTCCAAATCCACCTAGCTAGTGCAAGCTGGGACTGTACAAGGGGGTCTTTAAGAGAATGCTAGATGAACACCTTGCTGGGGTCGTTTGACCCCAGTGCTCTTTCCTGCCATGGCAGGGGGTTGGACTTGATGATCTGTCAAGGTCCCTTCCGACCCTACAAACTATGAAACTATGAAACACAGGGAAGCCAGAGCCCAGGGACCTACTCCAGAGACAGTCCTGCCCAAAATGCCTCCAGAGAGGGAACTGAGGAGGAGGAAGAGGAGAAACTGAGAAGGGCTGGGTGGGGCATACGGTGTCTTTGGTCTGAATAGTGACCAAGACAGGGAACCACCCAGGATCTCTATTCAAGCAATGCACCCTGATAGGGGGGTAGTGGGTCCATGGCAAAGAACAGGCTCAGGGATGCTGCGTCCTGGCAAAGAGTTGACAGGAAAGGCAGGTAGCCTCCCATTTGCTAAAGAGTTCCTGGGAACCAGCAACACAGTGGAAGGGGCCAGAACCTGCAGGGCCTTGGGCACAAGGAGTGAATCAGAGTAGGTGCCACATCCTTCTGACACTGAACAAAGAGCTCCACTAGTATGATCCCTAGGGCTGCTCAGTGTCCCTCCACTCCAGCCCATTCCTCCTCCTGCCTGGCTTCTTGCTATGGATGTAAAGGAGCAGGGCCCATATCCCCTCATCAGGGACCCAGTGACAGCAGGGTAGCTCCTGCCCCCTGGGCCTTCCTTTCACCTGCCTCGTACCACTTTCCCACCTAATTTGAGAAATCAGGGAGAGTTAGAACCTACCCCTGTCCCACGCCTCTCCCAGCCCCCACACCCTCGCTCTCCCTCAGCTCCCCCCTCCATCACACACACCAGCTCCTCTGTCCCCCAATTTCCAAATCCCATTTCCACAGCCCATTCCTTTCTTTACCCCCATCTCCATGTACCATTTCCACACCCCACCTCCACTCCCCACTGCTGCCCAAGCCATGTGACCTGGGAAGCCAAGGCCCAGACTTGTCGCAAGAGGCTCCAACCCTGGCACCAGAGCCTCCTGGGTCCCATCTGTGTCTCTCTGTTGTGTCTCTCAGCTTTGGCCTCAGAGACCCATGATGGAGCTAGCCTGATGATCACAAGCCCACCTCCTGGGCACTGGCTGTGCCCTGTGATGCTTGCTGTTACCTGAATCTGACTGCCCAGCCACTGGAAGGCCTCAAATCCAAGGTCCGTCCTGATGATGAAGATTCCCAGAACAAACTCCATCCCAAGACCCCAGAAGACAGCTCTCCAGGACACCTGGACCAAGGACAATATGGGGCCATGTGAATTAATGAGTCCTGGAGCCTTCCCACTCCAGTGTTCAGCCTTGCCCATGAGCCCAGATATCACAACATGGGCCAAACTGGCAGGCATGTGGCTTCCATGGTGGTCCCTTGGACTAACAGCTCAGTGCCTGGAGAAGGCTCTTGGCTGAGGCAACATCTTGCAACATCTAGATCACTTCTCTGCAAGGGACTGTCAACGGGCTTCTGACTGACCAAGGGGCTCAGTGTAGCTCTGGAAAAGCAGGCAGAGGGTGTGGAAAGCAAGGGGGAGAAGCACAGAGCAGAGGACAGGGCAGAGGGGGAGGTGGCAGGTGCCAGGGAATGGGTGCTGGGTTGTCCTCATATCAGGGAATAGCTCTCCCAGAGAGAAGAGCACATGGGCCTTCATATATGGGCAGGCCATACTCTGCTTCTAGCAGCACCAGTGTCAGCCAGGCAGAGTGTCTGACCAGGGACTTAGGGTGTTGCATCACAGTCGTCCAAAGCAAAAGCTTACATGGGTAACCCTTCATGGCCCATCAGAAGGGCAGGGACCTCAGGGGTTGTACAGGAGTGACTAAGCAGGTGAGGCTGAAAGTTAATGGAGGCAGGGATCTAAATTAGGCAGACACCTTCCCAACTATACAGCTGGTCCAATAAAAGATATCCCTCACAAAACTCCTTGTCTAAATCACTAGGTGCTTTTGTAAAACTCCCTCTGCACCCATCTGAATGGACAGGGTTTTGGGGAGCATTTCACTCCCTGTGACAAAAGAAGGCATTTGTGGCATTGACTGCCCTGAGGTCAAGGTAACAGAGGTGTGTTATGAGAGTCAGGAGTCCCAGGCTGGCTCTGCAGCCCTGGACCTTGCCAGTTCTCTGCCCATGAGGCCTGCAGGTGGCACGGCCTCCTGCATTTTGCCTGGGGTCCAGAGGATTCTATTTGCTTTCTGCTGTGAACGTCAAGGGACAAATGCAAGCACATTGGGTGGGTGGTTGCTTCCACAGGGCTGTATTAACAGCAGTCTTGCTTCCACAGGTCACCTCTGTCCACAACCCCCGCTGCTTCCCACTCTGGGAGGGTGTTTCAGAACCAGCTCTCTCCCAGTGGAGCACAGTGTCTTCAGCACTGGGCCCAGGGAAACATTTTAACTTACTGCGCCATGGTGCTTGGAGCAGGCAAAAAGGACCAGCACAAAGACACAGATGCCAGCAAATGAGATCAGCTGCTCCGGATTTTTGGCAGTATCCAGAGCCAACCAAGTGACCAGCCCACCCAGAACGGCCAAGCAGAACACCCTGAAAAAGAAGCACCAGACAGCCTGTCACACAGGAGATGTCACTGCAGAAATACGCGATGACATGTTGGTGAGGTGACATCACTGCAGGAACACCCGGCACATTGTCTAAAATATCAGTTAGCTCATCAAGGAAAGCTACTAGGTTATCTGGTGTGACCTAGCCATGGCAAACCCAAACCCAAGCTACTCAAGAGGTGGGGATCACTCCAAAAGGCAACCAAGCTGAGCAGCCTTTTCTGGTCAGCACTGACAGTGCCAGCACCTTAACGACCACCTTGTGCTATCACCATCCTTTTGCAGGCAGCTGCAGCAGTCCCCTGAGAATCCTTGAGGCTAGCTTTGCCCAGGGCATGAATGGGGTGAGTGAGGAACAGACTCCTTCCCCCCATACCTTGATGAGCAGGGCAAGCCCAGTCTGTGCATGCAAACAGTATTTCCTTGTGGGCACTCCCACATATGCTCATCAGGGGGGTGATCAGACGAGGACAACACTTTTCAAGTGGCCAAGGAAAGCAGGCATCTGCTCATGACATGGGGCATGCAGTGCAATCTGTTCTCCAACTCACCATTTCAGCCATGGCCAGGACTTCCGGAAGCACTGCTGACAAGGGCTGAAGAGCCTCACCAGCTTTGCCCCATAGTGCTTCTGAATGAAGTCATAGCCCACAAAGAAGACAACAATGCAGGTGATGACCACTAAGGCAAGGGCACGCTGGAAGTTCAGGCAACAGGCCGCAATGAAGTAGCACAGGTAAGCTGGAAAGGAGAGAGGCAGGGACAATAAGCAGTGTTGAAAGCCAGCAGACAGACTCAGCTCACACAAGGCCCCCCGCCGGACCCCCTTCACTGAGCCCCACCACACACAGCGACTGCATGGAGGAGCAACACCACAGCAGCATGATGGGCAGATCTGTGGGCTTGTGCAGCCACCAGCACATTGCCTGTTATGGGCTGAAAGGAGTAAAGATGAGGAGGACTGTTCATTTGCTGGGCAGGGAGACAGGCACAGGCTAATGCTGCCTTGGTACTGGTGACATGTGAACCCCTTGTGAAGAGAGAAGTGGGATGAGAATAAGTTAGGCCAACTGCAGCTGGGCAAGGCTATGCTAAGACGTGGTCTCCAGAAGAAAGGTTGGTGTCCCACTTGCTTGGCAGGCTGGAATCAAGAGTGGCCAAAGGACTGATGGAGAAGTCCCCTCGGGCCATGGGCACTCTCCACCCTGATGTCCCTGGTTCCCAGGCTGTTTCACCTGTACACAGGAGACCCAGGAAGATCTTCCGGAGCAAGCTGGAATGAGTCTTGCAAAAATGCCTTGCCTTCCCCATGGGCTGCGTCACCTTCCTGGGGAGAGTTAGACAGAGAGACCAGTGCATGTTAAAGACACAGCTAAGCCAATCTCCCTTCTCACTGGGGCAACACTTCTGCCTGGTGGGGTTGATGGGATCCAACAGCCAACAGCTCCCATACACTAAATCTGGGCAGTCTCACAAGAAGCTCCAGTTCTCCTGAGGCTTTGGAGAAACAATCCAGTCACAGAGAGATGCTGCCTGCCCCATGCAAACCTGCCATGTAGTCCAAATGCAGGTTCATATACTGCAAGCTCAAAAGATCTCAGCACATCTGTTCCCATACCTCTGTTAATGCAGCCCTTGGCATCCCTTATGAGCTGAGCCTTACCACGGGGGACAGGACTATTATCTGGAGATAAGATAGCAGAGAATGTGTAGGAGGCTGCTGCAGGCTCAGCAGGGATTGGGACTTAAGGCTCTGCTATAGCAGAAACGACTCACATCAGCTTTGCCTCTCAGTCTGTCAGAAATAGCCTGTCAGTGGAGGTGCCCCAAGGGTCTGCCTCTCCATGAAGCAGAGAGGTTGGTCCTCCTTGGGTACCACAGCATGCCTCCCATATGATCCCTGTTATTCAGAGTGTCAAAGGGATCTGAGGGCTGTGGGTCACATTCTGGGGGAAAAAAGGATGGCAGAGTCTGGCATGACTGTTGGGTACCCAAAAAGGGCCTGGAGTAGTCGGGCTGCTAAGAGTTGTTTTGCTGTGACCAAGAGATCTCAGTATATCTGTTGCACAGACCGCTGTTAATACAGTTATTGGCATCCTTTATCATGAGCTGAGCCTTGCCATGGCAGGCAGGGGGGACATGGACACTTCTGCTTGGTGGGGCTGACAGGATCCAGCTGGGCCAACAGCTCCCACACATTAACCTCAGGTAGTCTTACAGGAAGGTCAATAGTTTGGTCAGGGGGAGCTGTCCAGGAAGGAAAGTGATGCTCCCCCTAACAATGTAACTCTACCTCCAGCAGGAGGGGCATCGGGCTTTCTCTTCTTTCTCACTCTCTTCAGGTAGACCATCGTTTCCCTCAGGGAGTTCCTCCTCTTCCTGCAAAACACCAACACTTGGTTAGTCAACGCTCCCGCACCGCTCCATGGTGTCAGCACAGGAGAGAAAGTGGGGGTGGGATTTACCATCAAGTCAAAAGCTGGGTTCTCTGAGCCCTCCTTGAGTTTGCCCAGTGATATTCTGCTATCTTCCATCTCCAGATATGCCCCACCTGCAACACAAACCTGGGCATCAGCCAAGAGGCAGCACAGCCAGGCACCTTGTGAAGGAAGAAACTTCTCTCTGACTCCACAGCTGAGAGGGGAGAGTCTTTTGCTTCCCTAGAGCAGGGAAGCCCTGAGGGTCTTCCTTGTCCTGTATGCAAGGCAGAGCAGCCCTCAGGCCTCCAGTCCAACAGCTGGGACAGAAAAGTACAAAGGAGGAGTGTCCAGAGGTGCTCGGGATGTTGTACCTGTGGGAAGAGGAGCCATGAATCCCTTTACTCTTCAAGGCCTAAGATAAGCACTCCAAATGTGTTCCTATGCCATTAAAATTAATGAATGTGCCTCAGAGGCACTGGGCTCATTATCTCCCTTGTTCTTCCCCACGTACAGAAAAGGAGCCTTTGCTTACTTCTAACCCTAACAAGTGAAAGAGTCTTGAATTACCTCCTTGTTTCCAACTAAACCCTGTATTTCTACCTGTCCCTGATTTTCCTTACAGACCATTGGGAGACAAATGGCCCTGCAGTAATTTTTAGGCACAGTGAGCCCTTCTCTATGAGATGAAATGCCCTGACCCTTACTTCCTAAGCTGTATCCCCTGATAAAAACAGCATTCAGCTTGAGATAGAGTTAAGAGCACAAAGCAGTACAGGGATTACCCCAAAACAAGTGCTTTAAAGCCCAAAATTTCAGAGCTAAGCTTAAACGTGAAAGAAATCCAAGCATGCTAGAATGTGGAAAAACACAGTTGAGGCTCCTGAACAACCTTATCACTGACCTATAGTCAAGCCATAGCATAACAATGCCATTAGGATTAGTACAGAATGCTGTTTACGGCCCCAAATTGGATTAAACCAATGTCTTAAAAGCACGTTAGAGTGTGCATTTTATGTCCTTCATGGTGTTACTACAAAAGGTGGGTTGGGAGCCTTAATTTGCCTTTTATCAAGGATCTAGAAGGAAATATAAAGTTACTGCTGATAAAAATGACAGATAACAGAAAAATTGGTAGAGTGAAAAATATTGATCAGGAGGCATTATGGATAAAGTGTAGCAGTCTGGATTTCTCAGGAAGGTGGGCCTCTTTGAACAACATGCATTTTAATACAGACAAATGCCAGGTCAGAGAACTAGGAGCACAGCAGGTAGATCACATTGGTTGGATGAGAAATGCTACAATAGTGAAAAAGAAGGAAGGATGTAACAAGAAGGCATGGGTCCACATCAATGCATGAATGTCACTTTGTTGAGTAGCTTCCATTTTTAATCTTGAGCTGAGCACAGGGCTACTCACCAGAGGCAGACCACTGCCCTGCCCAAAAGAGTATGTGTGACCCCTTTGGCACCTACAAGCCATCACAGAGTATTTTGGAGCTGACGACTTCAAATGCTGATTCTACTCTGTGGCCCAACAGGTTTTCCACATTGCATGGCTAGTGGGTCTGCAGCTCCTCAGCCTGGGCACACGGCAAAAGGAGAGAGACTGAGTTAAAAAAAGTGTTGGCTCTAAGGATCAGGGGACAGACCATTGTCCCAATGGCTAGCCCAGTGTCTAGAAAGAAGGTAAGCAGGCATGAATCTGGTTAAGACCAGAAGCACTAACAGGCCTGGGAAGGAGCGTGTATAAATAATAGTGGATCTAGGAATTTGAAAAGCTATACACAGTCAGGATTGGGTCCTTGGCCTCCAGGGCTGGCAGGCACTACTAGCTGCCTGCCTACTCAGGAAGAGGAGCCTGGCAGCTCAACTCTGGCAGGGTCAGGCCCTCGGCTCCCTGGGATGGCAAGAGTAGAGGAGGAATGGAAAGGAGCATGTCATGTAAATGAATGGGAAGGTTCATCAGTGGAGACACCAGGGTCAGGGTCTGAGACAGCTGTTCAGTCCACACAGGCCTAGCATCTCAGGAGGTCTGAGGCCCAGACTGCGCCCCATAGCTGATGACAGCAACTTACCTAGACCCAGTTGGCTTAGAAGCACATGAGACCTTATGACTAGGTCTACTCAGACTGGTAACTGTCCCAGGAATGGGCCAGGGACAGCAACCAGTTGGACATGAGTTCTCCTTCCAAGCAGGTCAGGGATTTTCAGACAAACCAGTTTTTCTGCTAGAAAATGCCTGTTGAAACAAGTTTGTGTGGGTACCTGTGTGCAAGTGTTAGTGGGAAACATTTCTTGGGTCCAGGACAGAATTTCTGGTGAAAACCAGAGATCAAATTGTGATCTCCCCCACACCGGATGAGAAGGGTAACTGATGGGGCTGTAGACAACCTCTGTGCTCCTCTCAGTGTCTTGTGTAGAAGCAGTTCCTCTTTGCATTAATCAGTGAACCTTCATGGCATCACAGAGTGTGAGAATGGCTAACTACCTCTCTCTGTCTGTCTTTATACAACTCAATATTTAAGGCACTGGGTTGGACCATGGGAGGCAAAGGTTCAAGTCCCCACTTCAATCAGCATAAAGCAGAACGGTTCTAGCAGGACAGACTTACCCCAGAAGAGCCTGGTGCCTAAGGCACTTACCAGGGCTGGGGTTCCACTTCTGAGCCTGGGTCAGGTAAAGAAGAGATAGCAAATTCCACCTCTGAGAAAACAGCTCCACATCCTGATCATCACTGAGCTATCAGCTCTCTGGAGCTATGTACTCTGCTTTTTTCACAGTTAGCCTCGAAAGGCACTGCTTCCCTCTTGATTCAGGATAGGAAAACACTGTGATCTCAAAATTTTTGCAGGACATGAAAAAAGTTTCCTACACAGTAATGCTCCCATTCCCATGGTGCTGTCTGTAGTTAAAGGGATGAATGTAACCTGTGATGATATAAGCATGACTTTAGGGGTGGGTCGCTATTGGAATAGTGTGAGCAGTGGCAGCACGTGCCCTTCAAAACAGACACTGGTAAGGGTTCAGAAAAGACTACATGATTCATAGTCTGGGAACTGCACTGGTTAGCAGGAGATTTAAGAAACTTTATCTACTGAAACAGTCAAGAGGTGACTTGATTAGAGCTCATAGGGTTCTCATCAAAGGTATTTGGGGGTTTCAGTCCTGTTGATTTCATTTATTTCAATGATAATTAGGCAACTAAATGTCCATCAAGACCTGGGCCCATGGTCTGATGTGAGGAGGAGGTTTCTGACACCTGAGGGCTCCTCACTCCTGCAACCAAACATGCAATGAAACCTGCAGTAGAAGCTGCCTCTGCTGAGCAGCCCCCAGTTTCCCCTCCTCACTCCCTACACTTCATGAGTCCAGCTCAGTAGCTCTCAACTTTGTTAGACTCTAGGTCCCCCTTGTTGGACTTGAGGCCTCCTTTGGAAAATGCCAGCACTTGGATTTCACTCTTTGTTTGACTACAAAAAAATAACAGCATATTATTCTGTTGTAAAGGACCCAGAAAGGCCACAGCAGGGCAGAATGATTTTAACTGTTAACACCATTACTTTCTGTTTGAAAGCTCAGGGTTTATCTTGTAAACCATATGCAGATGCTTGCACAACTCACAGTGCTAAGACTGCATGGCACCCTTAAAAGGATCTCACAACACTCCAAGCACTGCCACAACCTAGCTGAGAATCACTGGTCCAGCTCATTACTCCTCTGTCCCCCAGCCCCACTTCTGCCCATGCCCTGCAACCCCTGCCCTGCCCCCAGTTCCCTCTCCTCTGTGCCCCTTCTGCAGCTCCCAGAGCTCTTTCCCCTCTCCTGTGCTCAGGGAGGGGGCAGCTGCAGCAGGGTCCTTTTTCTCTCCCATCCTGGGCTCAGGTTCAGTTCCAGCCCCAGCCCCAAGGATGCTGGCGGACTCCCTTTTCCCCTGGGCTGGTGTTGCAAGGAGGGAGGGGGCCAGAGGCTGGGCAGGCCGGCTGTTCACAACACAGGTGAAGGCAGAGGAACACCCAGGGCATTCCCATCTATAGTCAGCTGCTTCTTCTCCTTCCTTGACCCCCCAAAACTCCTTTTGTAAGGGTAGGGAGGAGGCCCTGCCTCCATCCTTCCACAGCCCTGATTGGCTTCTCTTCCCTGATAGGAGCCAGGCAGTGAGGCAGGCAGCCAAGGTGCCGGCTCCTTTAACCCAGGGCAGAAACTGTCTCTTTTTGTGGGGATCCAGCTGGCGTGACTGACAGGTGGGCAGGGCAGGGGGCAGCCCCATGCACTGATGCTCAGGTCTCAGCCCTTTGCAGTGCTCCCCTACCACCCCATTAGAGCTGAACCATTCACCCTACTGAACTTGGCCAGGGCATGCAGCTGGTCAGGAGCAGAGCCAGGGATGGCGCCCACACTCCTGAGTGCAGCCTGTCACGTTCACCCCCAGACCACCCCAGTGATACCCAGGCAATCCCCGCCACTGACCATGCTGTGGAAGAACTCCAGCTAAATCTGAGTAAACGGCCTCCCAAGCAGAATAATTCATGCAGAGGGAGACCGCAAAACTAATTCTGCATGTGTGGCTTGCAAGGCCACTTATCCCCCCTCAAATCCCAAATGAATCTACAATGACGTCCAAGTTCAAAAGATGGTGCCAGCCAAACCAACAAGAGTCCCTCAACATTTGAACACAATGCAATGCAGTCTACACATGCTCTTCCACATATTCCCTGGCGCTGATCTTCCCTACTGACACTCCAGCAAGGCCTCAGTATCCCCCACTGCCTTCCCTGCCTATCTCTTCCCCTTTGTCTCTCATTTCCCTCCCCTCCCCTCCCCTCCAATGAGCAGATCTTGAGCTCATTACAAACCCTGCCCTGAGCAATCACACCGGTAGGCCTGCTCCCACATTGGCAGTCACTGCTTCAGCTCCCATCCAAACCCTTTGGTGCTTTACTCACCGCAGGCTTCTGCTCCAGGGCTGAAGACCAGACCCCCAGCTCCCTTGTGCTCACAGAGGGTCAGAGTCACAGCTGTTGCCTTCCCATTTCCTTCTGCCAGAGGCTGGGAAAGGAACAGGTTATCAATTAACAGCACAGTCCAAAGAACTGAACTAGGCACTTTGTAGCCTACCCAGACACCCATGTGCCCCTGTTCCTAACAATCAGGATCATGTCCTAATTGCTCCACTTAACAGTAATCACAGAGGTAAAGCTCATAGCCCTGCCCCTGTGACCAAGGCCATCTCAGCCCAGGCCAGGCAGTCCTGCCACACTGTGTAAAGTTGCCCTGACTCATGGATTCCCCAGTGTAGTGTGCCAGTGCTTGGGTGGAGCAGTCATAGGGTGTTTATAAGTTAAAGGAATCTGGGAGGCATCTTGGGTATGTTGGATAGAGGGGGAAAGGAAAAAAAGCTGGCACAGAAGGGCAACAGGACAGCACAGATGAGATGCAGGCTCAGGCAAAGCTGTGCAGTCTGGGAATTGAGATTAGGAAGCCTGATACTAACAGGGTGCCAGGGGGGAATCGCTAAAGGAGAGGGAAGAGTATGGGAAGGAGAATGAGTTTAGCAGTGACATTTCAAAGAGACTGGAGGGACCAAAGGGGTTGCTGAGGAAACCAGAGAGTAGGAATTTATAGCAGTCCAAATGCAAGAGGTTCCAGACCGGGATAAGGGTCTGAGTGAGAGGTATGGGATCAGAAGGATGTCTAACATCTCTCAAAGGTGTTTGTGAAAGAAGACACAGATGGATTTAGCACCTTACTGAAAGTCAAGGGTCCAGGAGCCAGGCATGTCACTAGGGCCAGCAGCTTGGAGAATGGGAAGGTACCTGTCATGATGGAAAGGAGAGAAGGGTGGGCAGTGGAAGAGGAGTCTCCTGAGATTTTATTTTAGGGTGGTGGCAGGGCTCCCAGGGAGAGCTGAGAGGCACAGGAGCAGGTACAAGACTGAACAGAGAGCAGAAGTCAGGGTGGAGCCATACCCACCAGGATGATCAGCACAGAGTGGGGTCACCAAAGCTACTAGGGTGGATAGGCCATAAGCAGGGAGTTGGGTGTTGGAATTACTGTCCTGGTCTGGGGCACTCTGGTGCCAAGGTGATGAATAGTACAAGAGCATGGATATGACAGAACTGGGGAAATGCACACAAAGAAGTGAAGCCAGGCATATGGAGGGACATGAGAGCTAACAGCCACAGGCAGGCCCATTGATCAAAGTTTGCCTTCAGCGTTAATAAGAATCACAGAGATAAGCATATCAGGAGAGTCTGCACTGATGTACATGCCCTGATTTAAGGTACTTCACTGATAAAGCATCATCTCCATGCTGGACAGCACTGCTGTCATAAAAGCCTGTTGTGCTTTGGGTGAGTCCAGCCATCACTGTAATGAAGCCTCTGTAATGGCAGATGAAGGGATATTCTAGCCAGTTCCTAGTGTGCATTAAACTAAATCAAAGATTCACAGCATTGATTTTGAACATAGGCCCAACCAGGATATATGTGTGTGCAGCCACTTCAGCATTACCCAGCTATCAGAAGCAATAAATCTAACCTTTAATCCTGGAGACTTTTGTCAGGGGAACATCAGCCTCCGAGTGCTGCTCCAACAAGTGTTCCACCCTGCAGCTCCAGGGTGCCCATAAAGAGATTCAGGAGACATGAGACCTTGGAGTGCAGAGATATGGTATTGATTAGGCTGGTATTTATTTCCTTGGCAGTTCGTAACCCGGGCATCAAATGTCCGTACTGCAGAACTATTTTTTTATAACTGTTATTTGAAATGATTGCATGTTTTTTTAGAAAACAGAGTAGATGAAGGAAACCTGCGATCCCCTGGAGAAATGACTTCATCACATTAACTACAGAAGGACTTGTGTAAAATAATCCATGCTATTGACTCATCACTACCCCCATTTCCTGAGAATCAGTTCAGTATTTATTAGAGATTGTTCAGGCCTCCGAGGTTACTTCTGACAGGAGCTTATTCCAGGGTAGAGTGCTTATGAGGCCAGAAGAGACCCTTAGATCATCTAGTCACATCTCCTGTAAGACTCAGACCACTAAATAATTCCCAGATTGAGCCCAAATAACTGGTGCTTAGCCAGAAAGACCTTGAAATAAGACATTAATCTGAATGTGAAGACCTCATAAAATGGAGACCCTATCACTTCCCCTGGGAGTTGGTTCTAGTGGTTAATCATCCCTGCCATTAATAACTCATTACCAATTCATGCTTCTGCAGTTGCAGCGATTTATACTAGCTAAGAACTGAACCAGGGGGTTATTGTTGGGGAGGGAATAATCAAACACACCACACATGTGAATCCACCAGAAAAAAAATTGTGGACTAGCACAGACCAAGGGGGTGCTAGTCCACAATTGTTGGCTCTGCTGAGAGTGGTAAGCAGATGCTGAGGAGACCTCACACTCAGAGGTTCTTTTGGACCCTCTGAGCTTTGTCTAACAGGCTGCTTGAAGCAGGCCCAAGCTTTAGAGGAGGGATCTGGAGAGCCTGGGGAACAAAAACCACCTTCCCTGCCAGATCCACAGAGGCATTTTGTCCTGCTGGCAGTTCTACAGCCTTCAGGGGCAGGGAAATCCCTCCTTATGTGGAGTCAGAGCCACTGCTTAGAAATTCAGCTCCTGGGATTAACCTCAGTCCGCAGCTGTCTATGCAGTGTGAGGTGTTCTACTTTATGGAGACTTTCCCATGTTTCTTCAGGACTGGGAAGGGGGAAGGAGGAGAGTCACACTGAGGTGCTCTGGGAAGGGAAGGGAACCCCTGCTTTGCATGTTGGTGAGATGAGAGAGAAGTCCTGGCCAGGGTGACAGGGAGTGGGGCCAGCTTTGCCATGAGGGTCACACTGGGAGGTACTGTGGGGAGGAAGGGAAGGCAGTAGGCAGCAGTGCTCAGAACTGGAAGTAGCTGCACCCAAAGTGCAACGGTGCAACTCAGCCTAGTGATAAGATGCATATTTCATGGAGAGAGAATTAATCTGTGGAATGGCTCACATGGAGATGGGGTGGAGGGGCTCACCATCACATGCAGCCCTGGCATGATGTCAGCGCATAGCTGTCCAGGAGCTCTGTGCTACTTCAGCCAGAGGCTGCTGGGGAGGCAGGCAGCTGTCCTACCAGTGCTCTGCAGGGGTCAGACTGGAGGGTCACACAGGTCCCTTCTGGTCCTGACATCACTATGAAGAAACCACCATGAGATTATAAAAACACTGATGTTTCTATGTCATCCAGAACCCCTCTGGTCTCTGTGCCATGCATTCTCACTAGTGGTGTGCGGGGGACAACAGCCTACAACTGCTACTGGTTCCTGGAATTACTGCTGTACCTTGTCGCTGCACTTTTGGAGTTAACAATGCAGGCTTGAGGCAGTCACTGAGTCGTCACACCTTGGATGTGGTGCAGTTCACCAGCCTCTGAAGGGAAGCTGTGAGTATGAGAACCTAAGTAGTTATGTGCATCTCTTGCTCATGGAGTGGATGCTGGAGATCAACATGATGCTCCACAGCTTCCAGAACAGTAAGACTCCTGGGGCGGATGCCTTGCCCAGAGTTCATGTTGCTTTCTGGGACCAGGTGGGCCTGGACCTGCCGGAGGTCTATAGGGAGCACTGGCAGGAGGGCCACCTCGGAGCAGGGATGGAGGAAGGCCTCATAACCCTTCTGTACAAGAAGGGGGAGAGGCGGGACTTGAGCAACTGGTTCCCGATTACACTCCTGAACTTTGATTACAAACTAATAGCCAAAGTCTTGGGTGAGTGTTTTAAGTCTGTTATAGGTGCAGCGATCCACGAAGACCAGGCATATGACTGATCCACAATGCCCTGATGCAGCTGCGTGATGCCCTACAGTACCAGCAGGAGAGGGGACAGAACGTCGCCATGCTGAACTTGGACTTGGAGAAGGCCTATGACCAGGTATCCCATCACTTCCTACTGGAGACACTGAAAAACAAGGGAGTCTCCGCAGCCTTTGTCACCTGACTAAAGGCAGCACTGTGCACCAACATGAGCAGCAGGGTTTTGGGAACAGGTCCCTGACAGTCCCGACTGCAGTAGAAGCGGGTGTCAGGCAGAGCTGCCTGTTCTCCCCAGTTCTGTTTATTTGTGTAGTGTAACCGCTAGCACAATGACTCAGACAGGACCCCCAGATCAGTGGAGTAAAAATCCCCATGAGGAATAGAGAAGAGACAAAAGTCCTTGCATACATGGAAGACCTGAACATCATATGCAGGGCCAAAGGGTCAATGGAAAGAGCACAACACACCCAGGTATACGAAGCAGCAGCAGGGGCCAAGCTCAACATGAGCAAAAGCACCTGCCTAGTCCTGGGTAAGCTCAGGGACCTGTTGCCCATGGGGGTCTCTGTCTCCCATGAGGGAGTAAAGATCCTTGGGGTGGAGTTTGACCCAGAGCTGATGGGGCAGAGGACACGGGAAAAGATGGAGACCAAGACCAGTCAGCAATGGAGAGGGAGGGGGAATGGGATATAGAGGGATGGGCTTTGCTTTTCCTTCTCTGTGATGAAAAAATGAAGCCTGAAAGCTGTTTTCTCAGTGCGCTTTGTTTTCCCAGCTTGGCTATTAACCTTGCAGTCACCAAGAGCAATAAACTAACATTTCTAATGCAATAAATTTAACATTTCTAATGCAGGGAAAGAACAGGCCAGAGAGATGCTTGGATCCAGTTCCAAATGGAAACTAGCAGCTGTGGCTAATTAGAATGACCAAATTACCCATCAAGTCCAGTGGGTGTCAGTGTCAATGACAGTTTTCAAAACGGGCAGAAGTGCTTTCCGCATGCCCTCATCCATGTGTGTATGGCTGTGTTCTGGCTCTCTTGGTGCCTTTGTGTATGTATGCGTGTTCTTTTTGTGCATTTATAAATTCATGCGTGCTCACATCAATAAACTGTGCCTACCACATTATGGGTTTTACTGAAACAAATGTATACTTCAGTTAACTTACATTATCTTTGCATTTGCTGTTTTTCCAAGCATTAAATTAGTTTATCTTTAATTCAGTATATCCCAGTTTGGAGAGGTTTAATTCTAGGAGTATTTTGTGTCCAAAGCACAAGTCGCAGCCGGTCAATGTTAACTGTGCATTAGCAAAGTTTTAAGGCTGTGATGTATGGAGAGAAGGATTCTCTGGATTGTTTGGGGAAGTATCAGGATCATGGCACCAAAAGCTCAGTGCAAATAACATTGGATTGATGGAGGAAGTTATCTTTATTCAAAATGCTTAATATGAATGTCTGGATGCTTTAGCTTGCTCCATCATATTGTGCACAGGTGTTTAACTAAAATATCTGCTCAACAACGTGAAGAAAAGTGCTCACTGTTAGAGTGTCATACCTCTGTCACTTTTACTTAAGTGCTATGAAAGCTTCCCACTCACATCTCTGACTCATAAAGATATCACTCCCCAGCATGATATTTTTAAATTAAAGGGGAAACATTTCCAGTCCCAAGGATGGAAAAAGGATAAAATAAAAAGGATAAAAAAATATGCACAAGCCTTCTCTCCTTCCTTTCAAAGGTTATTTTTGGAATCAAAGAGCCTAACGCTAAATTTGGACAGAATATAGGTCCCTCAGTCCAAAAGTGCATTCCTCCAGACCTTCAACTACAGTCCACACGTGCCTCAGTTTTGCTTGTAAAGATCCTCAGGAACCTAGAGGTCTGCTTATGGACACGTCCAGATCTGCCTGTTTTCACCAGGTTGAAAAACTTGGCCTAAGGTCAATTGGGAACGTGTCCTCCAGCTATGTCTCTTCTGCAGCTTGATCCTCTGGGGTGTTTTATGAGCAGTCCTAACACCTGTCCAGAGAACTGGGTTCACAAATCCCAGTGGCCATGGCCACTTCATCCCAAATGTGGCCAGGGGAGGAGGCAGTGCCCTATTTTTAATTTGGTGGTTAGAACACTCTCAGGGAATGAGAAACCAAGGTTCAATTTCCTCCTTAGCCTGGTGGGTTTCAACCCTGCCTCCACTGCCCAGGAGAGGCCCCAAACCTCCACGTGCAGGCTATTCTGGCTTGTATGCATGTAGAGAGTGGAGGTGGCATAATCTCTCTGGAAGAAGATATTCCAGTCTGGAAGAAACAAAAAAGATGTGGGGTGGGAAGAGAGAGAGAGAGATGTAGCTCAGCAAGAAGGGAGAGGTGGGTTTTGCTCTCTATGCCAATGGTTGCTTAATGTAAACTGAAGGATTGAGGCCTGCTCTCCTTTTCAAAGGGACAATGTCCCTAAGGCTCTGGGCTGTGAATCCTGTTCTCTGCAGCCCTGACACTGCTATCTAAGCCCACGAGAGGAGTGGGATTGTCACCTTGCCCCGTCCTCAGCATTCTCTCAGGACTAATTCTGCACAGCTGCATGCTGAACATGGTTACCAACATGCTTAGGCACTTAGATGTCCTCGTGCACAGAAGAGGAAGCCCAGGTGACTCAGGGGCTCTGAATTCCACTGCTGGGCCCTAAAAGTCAGGTGTTGTGATGCCGAGTGCGTTACCCAGCCGAGCCCCAAGCTCCTGCACAGTGCTTTCATTCTTACTATCAGAGCACTTGATCAAAGAGGGCAGCATGGATGACTGGTGCCGCCTTTGTCAGGGAGGGCATGTGCCCCCCCTGCGACCAGTCCCACCCACTGGAGGTACACAGCCATCAAGGGGTGCACTTCCTACATGTTGCTACTGGAGGGCAGTATTGTTTCCCCCCATTTTTCAGCCTGGGAAACTGAGGCACAGACTGGGATGGTATCACCCCACAGGTCAATAACAGGCTGGGGCCTGATCCCAATTCCACCGAATGCTAGGCCCAGGTATTATCTACCGAGTCCTCTGCCAGATCCCATCTTATCCTGACACCCTGCACAGCCCCTCAGCAGCTTCCCCTCAGGGCTCTACAGCACATCTCCTTCCTAGCCTCCTGTACAGCCCCCAACCCACACCCCCCACCTCCTTCAACCCTCCCAGCCCCTGCCAAGCCCCCTGGCCTACCTTCCTGTTCCCCCTGTAGAGCCCCACCCCACCCCCACCCCTCTCCATTAGTATCAAACTCATCTGGTTCTAGTCTCTCACACTACCCCACAGCTGGTCTCCTTTATGGTTCTCTCACCAGGCACGCTGCAGAAATCCCTGAGCAACTGCTGCCTACATCAGCTCAGGATGGAAGCAAGCATGGCCACCTTCATGCAGTAATGCCAACTCTCATGAAAAATTCAGGATACCCCTGATTTCCAAGTCAGATTAACTCTGATTTACAATCTCCTGATAGAGAGATAAAATCTTGGGATTTTTTTCTTCTGGTGTGTGTAGAGAGCACCAAGCTGATAAGTCTGTGGAGGGGAAGGGGCAGGGGGAGAGGGAAGGGGTGGGGGAGCCAGATCAAGGCCCCCATAACAAGGGAGGGAGTGGGGCCGTGGCTGGGGTGAATGGGTTCCCAGGGCTGGGGCAAGTCATGCACCCTGGGTTGGGGGGGGGTGTGTGTATGTGTGTGTCTACTCCTCTCTCCCAAATCACAGCCCCCCCAGCCCTGCTGCTGCCCCTCACTCCTGACCCACAACCCTCACACCTTCACAAATAATACCCCCCTGCCTCCCTCCCACACACTTCAAAAATAGCATCTCATTTACATTTCATATCTCTTGATTTTTAAGTTTGTCTCATGATTTTTGACATGGTGGGGTTGGCAATACTGTCCATCTGATGCTGGGACTAGGCTCACAAGCTCTGCTTCTCATTGCAGCTAAATGGCCTACTTGAAATGGGGCAGGAAAGCGGCCTTGCTCTTTCCCATTCAGAAAGTAATCTCGCAGCATGGCGCTGCCTGGTGAAGCCACCAATGGCTGTGACACCTCTCACCCCCACTGGTGGCACACAGCTTAACAGTCAAGATCCACTGTGTCAGGCCACACTAAGATGCGATTCCCCTTCCCTTTTGGGAACAGCTTCACTAGTTTAGACAACTGCAGCCAGGGTATATGATGCTGATTTTCGGGCAGTGGAACAGCCTGAGGCCAGTGACCCCATAAGTCCCCCTCAAGCCCGAGTCTGAGATCTTTGGTGGTAGCACATAAGCAGTGCTGTCCCGGGGCTGCCCCTCTGACCTGCGGTGAAATCCATCCTCAGTAGCATAACTGAGAGGGGGAGACCAGGGCAGCAGCCCCAGGCACTGCCTTTATGCGGGGCAGAGAAACAGCTGCCACCACAAGTCACTGGCCACACCACTGCAATCAGTGTGGCAGGTCCTGGTGCTGCCCTGGACCTGCCCTGCTACACTTCTGCTGGCAGGATTGAAGATTCATTCCACTCAGGGTTGCCAAATCTTTCATTTTTAAGGCAAGTCTCAATATATTTATTGTCTTAAGCTCTCAGGGCCCAGAGTAACATGATTAAGTGAGAATCTCAGCTTGCACTAAAAAAACCTAACACCCCCCTGAGGTTCTCAACCTTGTGGGTGCAGAGGAAAGTGCAGAAAGATGCCTGAGCATGATAAATGCAAAAAGCAGGCAGGCGGGGTGTGCCAGGGAGCAGCTATGCCAGGGACAGCCAGGGTCACAGTGTAGATAGACCTGCTGGCTCTCACGCCCATATACTTCTGAAGCCAAGTTGGCAGCATAAGGTTGTAAGGCCCTTACTTTTCAGCCTGCCTCCAGCCAGGGAGCAGAAGGAGGCCTACTCACTTATTTTCTACCCTGGGCCAGGAAGCTGGGGTTGGGGGGGTACAGGCAGGCCAAGTACACAGGGGAGTGGTGAACTAGTCCAATAGCCCTATCCCCACACAGAGAAGCGGAGGGTGAGAGGATGAGAGTGGGTTGGGAACATGCATTCCTTCCCCATGAAAGATGTTGATGAAACTATATTTATTTTTTCATTGGCCTCAATACTTTTCTTTGAGATATTTTTGTGTTTCTCTTGAAAACAAAATCAAACCCCAAACCCACAAATGTAGACAATTGGAGGCTTTAAGGTTTTTTTCTTCAAACACTCCCCTCAACATTCCCAGCAAAACCAGACATCTCTCATGAAAAGTTCCATTGGGCTGAAAAAGCAGTCTGCAGTTGCGGGAGCCCCATCTCCAGCTGTCGGGAACATTCCCTCCAGAAAACACTGCGGCAACAAACTACCCACCAGCCCCCACACACTTCCCTGAAGACCTCTGTGCTCCTGGCTCTTCCTTGGGGTGGGGTGTAATACTACAAACCTGTCCTTCCCATGGGGCCGACAGCACTTGGGTGCTAGGTCTGCTTCACAACAGCAGTTCTGATTCCTTCAGCGGGTGTCTCTGGTGCTGGCGGCTAAACTGATTTTGGGCATTTGGCTCAATTGCTGCAGGGCCTTACGACAGTAAGCCATGTAGAGACAGACACATGCACATGGGAACACAGACAGGTTTAACCAGCAACATGTGCCCTGGATGGCAGCCCCAGACTCTAGCCAAAGGAAGGAGGGAGGCAGTGCAGTTCACAGTCTGTCCGGGAGCGTGGCCAGGGAACTCAACATGGGCTGATCACGGAGCCCTGCGTGTTTCCATGCTGGGCTCTCTCATATACTGAAGCCTGCTTGTCTCTCGACCAGCAGCCCAACAAACTTTGCTTCATCTGACCTTGGGGGAGAGGGGTTCCTGTCCAGTTAACCCAGCACGGCGGCCAAGGCCATGGTACAATGATCGGCAAAGATGCTGGAGAGGCTTGACAAGCAGCTGTCAGACCAGGTGGACCTTAAAAACAGTAACCCTTCTGCCAGACACTGGACAGCAATAACAAGGGCTGAGTTTACTTTAGGGGTTTTACACAAATGGATTAATGTTGGCTCGAGCCCAGACCCAGAAGTCTGGGGAAATAATTTCTGCGCAGGTGTTCCAATGGGAATAAACTTCCCTACTTGAAACCAGTACTCATCCACTCCTCCAGTCAGCCTGCGGAGGGGAAATGCACCAAATTACCAATTTGGTGTAGGCCACAATACGTTTGGTACATTGTCCTGATTTAGTGCCTAAACGTTTCTCAAGAGAGGGGAGGTTTATAGTTTACTCTCACAAGTCTGTGACTGTCCTCAAATTCAGGTGAAGCCTACATTCCTTTTTTGGGTACAATTTCAACTGAATATCACTTGAAGGCAGATGGCCTGCCTCCTGCCTTTGGAAGCATACAGCTTGTTTAATGATCCTTTTTTGTTTCAATTGTTTGAAAATGTTAACAGGGTATTGACAGGCAAGGTTCTTCAGGTAGATGTGATATCTTTTACTAGACCAACTGAGCAGATGGAAAAAAGTTCTTAGCAAGCTTTCAGGTGCAGTCACCCTTTGTCTGGCATAGGGAGCCTGCTGGTCCAAGACTTCCTGTGCCTGACGAAGGGTGACTGCACCCAAAAGCTTGCTAAGAAGTTTTTTCAACTGTTCAGTTGGTCTAATAAAAGATATTACATCTATCCAAAGAACTTTGCCTGCCTATGTCC